TTTTTTTTTTTTTTTTTTTTTTTTTTTTTTTTCTGCACAATTATCCCCGTCACCTAACGAAAAACTATCATCAACACAGGTAGACACACAGACACTCACATACCAACAGCATCCAGTTGTAACCCAAATTCTGTTCTGCTGACCGTTAAAGAGTGCGTGATTGAATCGAAGCACCACACACAAACTGTACAGTCCTTCACACGGACACACACGCTCACAACAACATAATTCAAAGCGTTCACATTCTTTAGTTGTTTCACTGTCGTCCGCACACGACCACAGGTACCATACCGATGGCAGAGCAAACACGGTGCGAATACAAAAACCGGGCAGTTCTCCGTGCTGCTGGACAGAAATCGTGAAGCTCTCTTCTCTCCAATACTCCCTCGAACGACGGTATCCCAATATTCGTCACCCATTGGTCTCCGTCCCCATTCCTCTCATTTCCTTCTTCCTCTCCGCTTATTCCTCTGTCCTCTTCCTCTCTCCGCAGCTGTTCCTCTTCATCCTCATCTTGTACCTCTTCCCTCGACTCATACTCTGTTCTTCTTCATCCACATCTCTCTGCCTCTCTTCCTACCTATCACTCTCTCCACTTTGTGCATAATAAATAGGCCCTAATTCATCACATAGCTGTTGTTTCAAGTTCTTGTTTTTGGAATTGTACTTGCGCTTGAGAGATAAAGTTAAAGGAAGAAGGGAACTTTTATAGTCGGTGGATGCAAAAACAAAATTCTTGGTAAACACTTTTCCTCTCTTCTTCAAAAAATTAGTACCCGTCCTTAGAAGGTACAATCGGTAGAGAATTCCAAAATTCCTGAATGAAAGAACCCGACAAGTATCCTCTAACGATAAGAGAGTCGAGCGTGCCTTTCAGTTACGAAATTGCCAGAGAAAAAGGGTTTCTTGGTAGAGAACAGGACTTTTCTTGATTAACTTACCCAGAATTTGAATTAACAGCCGCACAATTAATGACTGTATAAAACTTCTATAAATGAACGAACAACAACAGAGTTGAAGATTTAAGAATGGGAAAGAAATGTAAATGCTCCTAGATGAAAATTAAATTTTTTTGCAAAACTGAAATTATGAAGCAATACTGTGCTGTCGTTGTTGTTGCTGCTGCTGCCGTTATCGGCTTTTCACTTTTCGTTTTTTTTAAATCTTAAAAAACAAGTCAACGGATGATATAGCAGCACCAGTTAACGGTCTAAAAAGGTTCTAATGGTGTACGACAGCAATGACAGTTGGAATCCAAACTGTTCAAACAATAGCGTATCATCTGGACACCTGATTTGATTGCTTTTTTTCTCATCACAATGCTCCTCTTATAGATAAGCCTTGCTACAAGTCGTTTATGTAGATGGATTTGGAATCATTTAATGTCAGTCTTTAGCGAAACACATTGCCTTCACACTGACAGTTGACATTGGCTTGTGTTTGTTGACCAAC